ACCTACACCCTTACATATAAGTAACATATAAATATTAATCACTGTCCATCTTGAATACATAATGGAAGGAGGAAGCTTTAGAGTTCACAAGGTTAATACTGTATAGAACAAAACTGTGATGGGCTGAGTGTCAGTAAATTTAAGCTATTGATTAGTGATTTTTAGTTAGGAATTCAGAAAATGCTTTGTTCTGGATGAAACTGCAATCCCGTTAAAGTAACAAGTTCAGAACTTGTCCTCCTGGAGTCAAATCTGTAAACTAAAGGCAGATGCTTTTTCAATGTCCAAATGTAGAGTGCTAGCTTCTATTTTGTAGTATGGTGATACCCTAACTTCAGTTATTCCCATTCTAATAGCTCCCAAATGGACTATTACAGGGTATCCCCCTGAATATAACTTCCGAAGAAAGTCAACATGTTGTCAGTCTGTTATGAAGTAGAATCTTAACCCTAACACTAATCATGAAAGCATTGCTTTAACAATAAGTTACTGCAAAAATTATATTTTAGTATATATGACTATAAATGACATGGAGTCCTGTTCAAAGATGGCCTTTGTGATCCCAGTTAATGTATGCACTGAAATCCAATCTTGGAGCTTCTTCACCAATCAATTATGGTCGATGCTATCTCTGATCAGAACACTCTGGAGAAAAAGTTCACTTTGATGTTATTACTGTTTGGCTTAAATGTGCATCTCCCATAGAATATACACTGTACTTGTTGCCAATCTTGTGCAAATTATGCAGTTGCTCTGCATTTGGGATTGAAGAAGGAAACAGACAAGCATATCAGACACCCATCAGCAATGTCATGTGTAATCCAAGAAAAAATGTTCCCATGTACTAAAGTCAAAACCAGGGTTTCTCAACTTTGGAAATGTTGAGATGTGTGGACTTCAATTACCAGAAATCTTCAGCCAACTACGCAGGCTGGAAAATTCTGGAAATTGAAGTCCACACATCTTAAAATTCCCAAGGTTGAAAAATACTTGTCTAAATATTCTACACTCCAAAATTGTTTCTGCAAATTTCCAACCTGCATGTGTGTATAGGCTCTTCTATTCTTGATCCTTTACTTGGAGAGCTATTATGCCAAGAAAAAAAGAAATGCCTTCTCTTATGACAGAGCCACCTCTTTTATCATTCACAGAGTCTAGGTCAGGCCTCAATTCTAGCACTAGAAATTGAAATATAGTGCTGATACTCAAACAAAAGGTCAAGTCATTATCAAGCCAGCTATATTCTGATGTTGTTTTTTTTAAAAAAATAAGGACACCATGATCAATTGCTCACCTAATCAGAAGTGAAATCAAAAAACAAGTTTTGATATCATGCCACTGTGGACATACATTACAGATGGACCAAGGATAACCTTTCAATTTTAAGCAGGACTGAACATTTATAATATTGAGGAAAGACTGTAGGATTAGAAATGGTTCAAATCATTTATCACCAACTTTACAATTTCACTTTTATAATGCTAAAGTCCAAATAATGCATGTATTTCAGAAAAAAAGATATTCAGTTATTTCATAAGATGTTTTGCATATTATAGATAAGTAATATATCTCTTCTAATGTAGCTATGCACTGGATCCTTTTATATTAAAGTGATTAGTATGTTGTACAGGAACAAAATGTTCCCATTAGAGCTGAATATATATATTGTTTTTGCATAAAACCATTAAAACCTGGTGATGTCATCAGGCTTGGAGACCTTTAAGCAGTGGTGGGATACAAATATGTGAACAACCGGTTCTCTGTGTGGATGCTGCTGCTCGAAGTCTGTTCTGGGCCTGGGCAACAAAAAATTAGCTACCGGTTCTGCCGAAGTGGTGCGAACCAGCTGAAGCACACCACTGCCTTTAAGGACAAGCGAGGTTCCATTATTGTTAACATCTGCTTCCTTACTTAGCATTTGTGATTTTTTTAAATAACTATTTTTATATGTTAACTGTTTTATAGTCTTGTTGTATGCCACCCAGATTCATTCTTTTGAGAGCTGGAAATCTAAATAAATTTGATGAATAAATAATGTGCCTATTTATCCTTTCAAAACTGCTGGATTCCAGTATGATAGTTCTTAAAGCCCTTTAAATGAACCTGCACCTGGCGTAAGAGAAAATATTTTCAATTGTTCTGAGAAAATAGAATTTGAAGAATATAAAAATATGCATCCCTATACTAGCATATAAACAAGATTTTAGCTAAAGACAAGTTTCTGCAATAGATACAATTTTATTTCAAGACAAATATCAATATAGCCAGGACAAATATAAGTGCCCAAGGCTAATTAGATTTGAGTTCATTGATTAGGGAATATAAAAATCTTTGTTCCCAAATTACAGGTATTATTTATTCTGAGCTAAAGTGTGAAACTTTTTCCACCCAACAAAGAGTTTTAATTACTCTGAAAATGAAATTGCATTATTTGATTTATTACACCACTAACAAAATCTCTTTTTAAAATAAAAAAATGAAATTCTTAAAACAGTTGAATAAAAATTAAATGCAAATGGAATTTATTCTTAAAATTAGAACTTAAAATCAGCAGTTAAAAAGTCCTACAGGATTGAAGGGTTTTAAACAAAATCTAATTGAGATGTCACATCATTCATCTCTGCAGGGAGTGTACTGCAAAGAGCTAGAGCGGCGACAGAAAACTCAATCACAGCCACCATCAGATATGATCCAGCACATACACCAACCTCTTGAGATGATCACTGTCAATGTCCAGATTCAGAGAGAAGGAAGCATTCTCAAATAGCCTGGGCTTAAACCAGGTTTCCCTCTACAAGTAATGATCAGCACTTTTTATTTTGCCAAGAAAGAAATTGTTAGCTAGTGCAATACTTTAAGCACTAACTATATTGGCCTCTCTGGGTTCTTCCTGAGACCACTCTGGTTGTCAAGTTTTGTACCAACTGAAATTTCCAGACTGGAGACAAAGCAGCCTTCAACAGAGCATACTTCAATAATCAAGCCTGGAGATTATTAATATGTACAGCACTTTTAGAGTTATCTTTCCTGCTTTCTTGGATTAATATTTTCTTGACATGAAATAAAGAATTTGAGATTGGTTCAGAATCAAATATTGGGCTATCATAAAAAATAATACCTGGGCCGAATTGGACTCTTGGGAAGACCTTGTTTGGAACCTATGGGATAATTTTGATATGTTAATAACACAGTCAAAAAGCTAGAGAAAGGTTACTTTTATGAACTTTAAAACAACCTTCAAATTGTAGTTGGGACTACAATTTATAGATTTTTTTCAATCGTCTAGTACAGCACCTTCTCTTACATAAAGTCCCTTTCATATTGTATAGCTTGTCTGGTGGCATCTGTCCAAACTTGTTTATACCCTCTCTTCGAGATACCAGAGAATGAGTGGCATTTGTGTGTAAAATATTCAGAGTGAACAATCAATCTAACATAGTATTTTCTAAGTGTGCTTCTTCATGTCCTCCCCCTGCCCTGCACAACCTCATCTGCTACATTGGGGTCTAGCCTCCAAAAAGCAAATAAAATTCAATTTAGTTTGAAGAAATGAAATTGAAGGTAAGAAAAAGGCAATAGAATTTAAATTAAGGTTTCAAAATCATGTTGCTGTTCCAGAGTTTTGAAGAATACATTAGTTGTTGTTCAGGGAATAATAAAATAAAAGTTTACACACACACACAGAGAGAGAGAGAGAGAGAGAGAGAGAGAGAGAGAGAGAGAGAGGCCCTTTAACTTGTGGCTATTAAGAAATCTTTAAGAATTTTTTTTTCCAAATTCTTCTCCAAATACGAATTTTGTTCCCTTACATTAGAAAGTTAAGAGCTTGTTTCACTGATCAAATGTTTTACAGGGGACCCAAACTAAACAAATGACTATTGCTCTAAACATTACTATTCCATTGCTTTGGCCCAACAGATCTGCCTTTTTTAAGAAGACAAATACTGTGTTCGCTACAAGGAATTATTTCAAGAAAAATGGGATGAAGGGGAAAGCAGGGGGGAGAAAGGAATTTCGAGGAATTAGGAATTCCATGCAAAAAAAAGGGGTGAGTTATTCCAGTAAATGCCACTTCGAGATGTGGCTATTCCAAATGAAAGCTAATATTCTTAGCTTATGATTTTTGGCACAACTTACTTTACGGAAAACTCTATTCCAAGAAGGTTGAACCAACTGCCCCTCATTCCCAATTATTACCTACAATATAGTTTCTGTAGTCTTCTCCACAATTGCATTCAGCCAGCATATTGTACTTTTGAGCAGATATGTGCAGGAACCGGAGCTTACCCATTTCATATCAAACAGGAATCTTGTGTTATTTTTTTTCAACAAGCCTCTGCACTCCATACCGGTCCTGTCAACCGAGCTCATGGGACTTACTGACAAATATGTAAGATTATTCTGAAAAGAGCCTATTTATCCCCGAAACCACCGAGTGACAGGAACTGCCGTGAGAGGACTAGCCTGGGTTCTTGCAAACGCGGCGACACCTGGCTTAGTTAACTAATCAAGAGCAACTCAACCTGTTGCGGGAAGAAGAAAAAGAAACAGTGCCATCCGCCAGCTCAGAGCCTGCTTTTTTCTCAACGGGGAATTTACTTTCCTCCGCTCCCTCAGGAGTCAGTGAACCACGCACAAAACGCCTATTGTTGGACCACGGAAAGGGATTTGGCGACAGGACGAGTGGAAGAGATCCTGCGCCGGGCTACAATCGCCGGATCCAGCCACCATAAAAGTTCCTGAAAATAAAATTCTTCCGGACTCGGCACACAAAAGGAACATGCCCTCCTCTGCCCCCCGCGCTTCAACGAAAATCCGACGCAACAATGGACACAAACCAGCCTTCTCCGGTCAGTTACCGCTGCGTTTCCTTTTCCAGACACCCCCCCCCCCGGGTGAAAACGATTGTGAGTGATCTTGCAGGGAAAAGCCAACCGGACGTGTATCCCTCTGTAAAACAAGCCGCGGAGAAGAGAGCGAAGCGAGACTACAAGACTCACCTTCTGCTGCCGCCGGGCCATGTCTGTTGGCTGCTTGGCGTTAAACGGATAGGCGATGCACCTCACGATGAAGACGTAAAGCTGCAGCCGGAGCCGCTTCTCCCTCTCCTCTTCCTGGAACCGCTCTTGCTCTTCTTTGCCTTCGCTCCGCAGCGAAGGGCTGGGGCTCACGGGCCGGGTCGCCACGCCGCCACCGCTGCCCTGGCGTCCGGAGTCCCGGCTAGCAGCCGGGAGGGCTCGCGGGGAGCTGTTCGAGGGGCCGCTCCCGCCGGACACCCCCAACAGGTCCCGCCTCTCTTCCTCGAGCACCTCGTCGGACTCTTCCTCGCTGGAGGACGGGTCGAGCATGGTGCCCGGGCGGAGCGCACCTTTCGCAGGACTGAACAGAAGGGCACCGCCGCGAAGCTGACGCGTCTGGAGCCAAACAAGCGGACACCTTTCCGGACACGTCGAGCTTCCACGCCCGACTATTTCCTACGAGCCAGCCAGCAGAGCCGCCGAAAGAGAAGGGCGGAGTTTGCGAAAGGGGTCGAGCTTGGGGACAGCTCTGATCGGGTCCTATCAGCGGCCGGCCCGGCCCGTCGCTACTTCCCTCAGCGGCCGGGGGGAAGCTCAGCTCCGCCCAGCGGAGAGCATCGGCGCGACTCACAGGTGGGAAACCTGTGGCGCCCACAACAAGCAACACGTGGAACGGAATGCTAATAGCGCGTCTCCATTGGCGGTCGGCGCTCCGGCCACCCTCCGGCCTGCTCGCGGCCGCCCTAGCGCCGGAAGGTCGCGCCGGGTGTGCGTCCTGCGCCTCCTCGCCGCTTTCCCTCTTGGCCGCGTCGTTGAAGGGACGAAGAAGGTAGGAAGAAATGGGACCACCAGCTCCGCCAATGAAAAGATCTTAGAGTTGGAAGATAAGCTAGTCGATCCCGTCACGCGAGCTGGATTCGAAAACTACGTGAGGCAGGAGCGCCGGTTTTAGAGCCGCCAGCCTGGCAAGATCAGGCGACGCGTGAGAGGGCTGGCAGCTCTGCGGCATCGTTTTCGGGTTTGACGTCTGAACGGCACTCACCACCTCCTTACCCCCAAACCAATCTTAGTTGTTTTGTTTAGGGGCCCTCAGTATCTCCTGTCGCAGCGAAGGTAGGTCAAGCAAGAAACCGGTGAAAACTAGGGTACCTGCTTGACTGCCTTTTAATTAATTAGTTTATTTCTACTGGAACATTTTAGACAAAAGCCTTTCCCCATCACACAGGACCCTTTCCTGGTAGGCTGCTTGTTTATGGAGCAGATACAGCTAGATACACTGGCATCACCTCTGTCTTTTCGATAGTGGTTTCAGTGGAGTTTATTCCTTAGCTTGAACTGTGTTTAGGATTGTAGGATAACGGGAGCTTTGCTAGAGCTGTTTATTCATTTTACAGCATCTCTCTCTATGTCATTGAGGCACTGTAAATAGAGGTGACAAAAGGTCACAGAATTCATTCTGCATTTCTGAGCCATGAAGAAAAACGATGCTAGTTCTTTGCAAAGCTCAGAGACAGAAAATAGGGATTTTGAATCTTGTAGCAGGCAGTTAGGATATCAGTTTTCCTCCACCAATGAAATTCAGAATCCCAGTTCTGCAGCCTAACCAATCCTACCAATTTGTTTTATGTTTTCACATTTAATTGAAGAGCTTCCCTTCTTTCCCAGTTAAAAAACAATGTCAGAGCAATATTAAAATAATACAAAAACATATCAACACTGATTGTCCTTTGCTGGTTGAGTGCCATTTCCCATAAGGATTTGCCTTATTCATTATACAAAATAGATCTGCTCTTTTAACATCCACATTGCAAAATAAGATGACCTAAGTCTTTATGTTTGGGATGATCCTAGGCCTGGAAAAATAGCTGAGTTCTATTAATAACGAATAATGTCTGTTTATATCTTAGTAGGAGACAGCACCCAGGTGACATTGGATGACTTAAAAGCAAAAATATGCAAAGTAGATAGATTTGCATTTGAATTGGAGATTGCTTTCTTATCTATATACTACTAAAACTCTTGTCATGACCTTTACCTAATGGTGCATCATATGGTAACAGTTTTTGAGTCATTGTACCACAAATGTCCTAAATCTGTGTCCTGAGAGAGTGAAATTAGAGACACTGTGGCTGCTTTAGTGCTACTGGCTGCTGCTGGGCTGCTGCTGCAGTCACATGATCTTCATTTTCAATATTACCGTTTCCCAGCCAGTTTCACAATCCCTTGCTCCAGTTCCCACACCCAGCAGCAGCCACTTACCTGCTTGCTGAAAAGGGAGGGAGGGAGGGAAGGAACGAAGGAAGGAAGGAAGGAAGGAAGGAAGGAAGGAAGGAGATTTCTGGTATGCCCTGCCAGCTTCCCACAAGGAAACTTAATGGGAAAGCTGGCAGGAAGTTGGAAGTCGCTCCTTCCTTTTTTGTACGCCAATTGTCATTCTTTTCTCTGTATATGTAAGGAAATGTCTCTGTAATGATGATTCAATAGGGCACAAGTTGTATAGTTGTTACAAAAACTACTTGGAGACTTGAGCTCAAACAGATCGGTCCGTTACCAAAATAAGAGATAGGTGGAAATTATCTCTCTATCCAAAAGAGAATCGCTTCTAGACTGCTACGTTACAGATATATGAGAAAAAGAAGTAAGAATTTCAGTTTAAATAAAGTTGCATTTGATGTAAAACAGTCACTAAAAAATGTAATAAGTGTGGCATTATTTATATATAAGATGAGGAGTAATCATTCCTAAAGCTGGACAGTGATCCAACGTCTTCCTCATTGTAAAACAGTGTTTCTTAATCTTAGCAACTGTAAGATATGTAGATTTCAATTCCCAAAATTCCCCAGCAAGCATGTTGAATTGAAGTCCACATATCTTAAAGTTCCTAAGGTAGAGAAACTGTGCTTTGGTGATAAAGAAGATGAGCTTGAGAGAGATAAGCCAAATCTAGCCCAGAGCACACAGCACAAACAGACTTGCAACATTCTGGTACTAAGACCAATATCATAGAGTAGTTTTAACCTGTAATTTTAGCTTTCACTTGAAGTTATTTTCTTGGTCTGGAATACATAGTGGGATTGATATCAGTATTGCTAGTCTCACTGTGCTTTACTCTCTACCCCTTAATACTGCTATCTCAGCTACTTCCTCTTTTTCTCAGATCACTTTGGATCTGAGTTGCACTTCTTGCATCTCCCTGGGAATACAGCTGGTTTATCACCATCAATATCATCTTTTTTACTCTTCACGATGATGATGCTGATGCTGATGATGAGGATGATGATATCCATTCAGTCATGTCTGACTCTTGGTGATTCTATGGGCCAGGTCTCTCCATGTATTCTGATCTTGTACTACTTTTTTGACTCAGGTTTGATGGTGTCCAGCCCCCTTGTTCTTTGACTGCTTGGTTTCCTTTTATATGTGCACTCTTACCATCAGTTAAAACCAAGCATGACTTAGTGTAACATAGGGCTCCAGTCATAATAAACCATAGTTTATGGCTTCCTATGATTTGCAAGCCAGACTTAGAATCTTTATCAACTTTATTCATAATTTTAAAGGTCATTGAATTATCCTTGTCAGAAAATTAATCAGGAAAAAAAATATAACAGCAAAGTATTTTCAGATGACCCAAAAGTTTAGAAAATCATCTGGCAAAGAAAGAAAAATAAGATGCTAGTAAGGGAATATCAGAGAAATAGCTTATTATTCTGTTTTGCAAACAAAAATGCAAAATCTCAATCTTTTTCTCAGCACGATAGTGCTGTAATTGGAGAAATTTTAATGCAGAGATTTTGTACCCTGTAGAAGAGTGAAAGGTCCAGGAGCTACATCAGAAAAAAAATGAGCTGACAGATCTTTTTCAGTAAGTTGCCCAAGCAGAGCTCATTGGCCTTTATGAGTTGAATGACAGGTGGAGCCTTTCCCTGAATGAAAATGAAATATCAAGAAATATTTAGGGTAAGAGAGCAATTGATGCTTAAAAAGTAAAACCATGACCTATTATTTCATTGAACTTGTCAATGGCAAAAGGCAAAATATTATTAGAATTTGCAGGGCAATTCTTATATATATACACCAAAGTAAGATACACCGAGCTCAGCTATACCAACTCTCAGATAAGTGGAAGGATCACTGGTGGATTGGCACCTCCAACTAACAAAAAGGAAGCAAACAATCTAGGAAGAAAACTGAATAATGCAATTTTGCTGGATAAATTCACACTGATTATCACTTGACTTGTTCTAAGTTCTTCTAAGCTGCTGAAAATGCCCTAACTGTATTAACTGATTTCTTGGGGGGGGGGGGGATTGTGTATTAAGATATTTAGGTAATACCATTTCCCTTATTATTATTTTAAGCATGTAACAGCACTCAGGGATTATAATTAAAAGAATAAAAAAAGCCTCATGACCTTAATAATGTTATCAATAATCAATTGCAAACACAGCATCTTAAAAGTTAAAAAAAAAGTTAGAACTTTGTTATGTGAATTTGGGAAATAAGTTGATGCCAAAGTATCGTGATTAGTACAGTTGGACTTCCCTATAAGGATACATGAACTGGAGACAGCCACATTTATAGGCAATGGGTAGTTTTGGAATTTTGAGACCATGATGTGATGTAGGCAATTTCACAAAATGGTTTCCTTGTCGGAGGATTGCCTATTTTCGAGAACTGCTATGGTGGTCAGAGACAGAAATCACTGCTTCTCAGTGAATAAACTGGTGAGTTTATTTTCAGGAACCTTCTTAATCCCCTAAATCAGGGGTAGGCAACCTGGGCTCTTTTATGACTCATGGATTTCAATTCCCAGAATTCCTGAGCCAGCCATGCGAGTCATAAAAGAGCCAAGGTTGCCTACCCCTGCCCTAAATGCTTCCTATAACCTTACCTTGATTTTTTTCTCTCCTCTGTTTATACAGGTGCACTTTTAAGCAAAGCACTGGACAATACTCAATCACCATTTTTATTAGTTATGAGTGCCTATGTGGCATATTTACGAGCATCCTCATTCTCAACTTAGTTAACTTGAGAAATGTGAAAGGAAAAGACTGTTGATGAATCCCTTTGGGGCTGTCCACATTCAACAAGAAGATTAAAAGACTGCCTACTTTATCAGAATGTTGTAAACCTGACTGTTTTTTTCTTCTATATCCATTCTTCCGCTTTGAGTCAGGAAGGGGCCGGCATGAATCTCTTCCCAATTCCACCTCTTTTCCCAGAGATCAAGGAATGCTTTCACACTTTTTATTTTTTTTAATGGCCTCTGAATATTTTTCTCAAGGTCATCACCATGGCTCCCTATACAGACTACAAGAGCTGCAAGTACAGAGGTTTTCCCGAACCACAGCCGAATGGCAGCAGGGTGTGTGTAGCTGATGAGGTTAAATTGCAATCGGTGACATCACTGACAGCTTTATATATTAAACGATTACTTTGCTACTGTAACGGGAGGTCATGGCATGGTCTCTG